TGTATACAGACCGGTCTAAAATTATTAGTATAGTACTCTGCTTGCAGGAACTTCTGCAGCTCTCCGACGTTATTTAAAGTTGCACTCATTCCAATGACTTGTGTGTTTTCTGCAATTCGGAAGTTAAGATGGAATTAGTGACATGTTCACAATCTTTAAGACTTCTGCTCAGTTTTATGTTCACAAGCCTGCTTCTTCATCATTAGTCTTTTTAAATGCCAAAGTACCAGGTTTGAAGTGGGATGTAGCTAATCTATGTTAGCTAAGACGTAAACATAAAAAAGGAATCCTTCCCTATAGAAGCATTTAATTGGAATGGCTAAGGGGCTCCTACAAACAAATGGAAGAGATTTGACAATACTCAGGATTTCTTAGAGAGGATGTATAAAAAGAGCTTCAGAAACATCCAGCCCATCATTACAGGGTCAACTGACAAATACTTGAGTAAACACTAACGCACATTCATGTGATGTTTTTCAAAAGTAGCCAGAACACCACAAATCCAGCAAGCAAAAGTAAGATTTCTCTCTGGAAATGCCATCACTACAGCATTTTATTAACATTACCTGCAGCCATGACTTACTACTAGTGTAAAGAATTTTCGCAAGTGTAATTTCCAGCGTAGCTCCACGACTTCCCTCGCCAAGCATATGCAACTGTGAAAAGAAAGGAAAAGCGAAATGCAAGAACATTAACTGAGTTAAACAAATAAATAAATGTAGTCCTAAACAAATAATGAAAGGAATGTCTTTGTCGGACTTCCTCAGGATCTCCCTCTTGAAAATTCTGACTGCTAAGCTCCTTCTAGAAATATAGCCTCACTGAAACAGCGTTTAAGAATAATGGAAAAACAGACACATGAGAAAACAAGGGGAGATTTACCTTCCAATGAACTAGACTACAACTGACACAAACGGTAACTCCTGACAGTAAACAGTGTCTGCAGATGTTTGTATTCATCAGACTAAAGCAATTCTAAGCAAACTATGTTTTAAGCAACACATACAGTGGAATTTCATATAAGAGATTTTTTAGCAGCCATCTATCACCAGAAGAAGTAGCTGTCTTCTGTTTAGAAGCTACTGTATTAAAGTAGGGTCAGTCAGTCTGAAGCATTCCATGAATTAAACGTCCTTGTTAGATGTTACACGTGATTAAATCCCACAGCCAACCCTCAGCAGCATAACTCAGCCACACCACTAAAAAGCAGAATAAGGGGCAATTCTCAGAGTCATATATTACTTAATATTTTTCTTTTTTATGTTCATTTAGTCATTATTAATACCAGACACAAAATCTCACGGTTGCACATTTAGAACTTCAATTCTGGAGTTCTATCACATTCTATATGAATAAAGTGATTGATTTATTTTCTAATCCATTGGAGGTGCCTAACTGACAAGTAGTTACTAAGCAATTAATCATCTACACAGTACATCTCTCAACATAAAATCTATTGTCCTGATACAGCAAAAAATGCTTCAGTTAAAGAAAAGCAACTTTCAGTACTACAGAATTACATACCAATGCACAAAAACTTAACTAAGTGATATTAATTTAATGATAAACACTCAAAGGAATACCAAGTAATCAAAAAAACTCATCTTTGCTAGTAATTGTGTGGCATAAAAAGCAATATGTAAATCTTGTAACATACCTCATCTACTACAACCAGACCGAGGTCATCAATTCTTTCTGTTTCAATTAAGGAATTGACTAGAGCATGTCCTTTTTCTATGGTAGCAATATAAAGAGACTTTTTTAGTCTCCTCTTGATTGGTGGAAATCTTCCTTTACTTCCTGCATATTCTTCAACCAGGAAACCCAATTCTATCCCAAAGCTTGATAAACCCCTAACCTGGAAAATAAATAAATAAATAAATAAGAATCAAGTAGAGAACAACTTGTGCTCATCTGGGATTTCACAACTGCCTCAAGAACTCAACATGAATACAACCAACTCACACCACAACAAACTGTCTGAATTAATGAAAACATTCTAGCTATGACTAAAATCTTTTTCAAAAAATTGAAAAACTGAAGTGTTTACAAACATTGTCAAGCTTGGGTTGCATCTGTTCTGTAAAATTAACTCTTTCGTTATACCAAAACCGATTAGTTTTTATTTAAAGACCATCTCTTTAGCGAGACGAGCAGTACAAATATAAGACTGCATAAATATACAGAACACTGCAAAAAGCTATTATTTCAAAAACTATTATTTTCAAAATTCAGCACACTTTACAGCTTAGCATCTTCCCCTCATAATTTAATTTTTTTTATTAAAGAATTACTGACCCTCAGAGCAGCATTAGGGGGAGAAGTCACTCACTTCCCACCATGTATTTATGGAAATCATGGAGTTTCCTAAAATTAGTGTTAAAAACTAGCCAAGTAACAAGGCATATCAGAAAAGATAAGTAGTATCAGACACACTGTATCCAGACCTTTTCTTGAACGATGGCAACATACGGCAGGATCATCAGAACATCTCTCTGCCTGCAGAGTAGTTCTTGAAGAATTATTATTTCAGCTACAAGAGTTTTTCCACCACTGGTTGGCAACGAGTATATTAAATTCTTTCTTTGCTGTAGAGATTCTAACATTAAGCAATCATGCTGCCATTCTGCAAAATTAAAAAATAATTACTAGCAGCCCCTAGGGGCTCCTTAATCAATATCAAAATGCTTACGTTTCATATAAAATACTTTAAAACCAGCCTTTGAGAGTCATCAATAAACCACTAGAAGTGATCAAGCCTTCCCAAGTATTCTACAAACCATATCAACCTTTCCCACCCATCAAAAAGAACCAAAATAAAAAACAAAACCAACACTCTCCAACATGGCTTACATTAAACATTACCTTAGCTTATATTATCTCTACAGTGTAATGGGTAAAATGGGCAACACTTCACCAGCACGTGTAGTTTTTTTCCCAACAAACCATTAGTTACCTTACCGTAAAGTGTTTCAATCCCTCGAAATTGTCTTAATAGATCTTTAACTTTGCTAGGTAATCCATAAAAAGGGCCTATATCCACAGAAGAAGATTCAATAGTTTTCCTAGCAACACAAATCTCTTCAGATAAAACAGCCTCTTTAAGCTGCTTGGCCTTAGAGACCTGCAGAAACTGGGCTTTGGCATTTCCAGTCATTGCACTTTTCAGATGATCTTTAAGACTCTCTGTTTTAAACAAACCACACTTGGAGTCTGAGGAAACGTCAGTAGATCTATTATTTTGTTCACCATCAGGACAAACAGATGACAGGCTCCTGATTTCATCTGAGGAAGAGCTTACACATTTATTCCTCCTCTCTGAAGCTGGAGATATTCTAGAACCACGAGACAGTTCATCCATTTTCTGAAAATATAAAAGTTGTGATGATGGCAAGTCATCTAATAGAGACTCAGTCAGTGCTTGATTGCTGTCCACGGGGTCATTTTCATTCATCTGGAAAGCATCCTCTTCATCAGTTTTAAGGACAACCATATTTTCTGAAGTAGAAAAACTATCTTGTTTTTTGTGGTGAATTCCTGACTGAAGATTCCCAAGTGTGGTGTCTCCAGCTGCTTCAACATCCCGGTTTTTATCCTGCAGGCATTTGTGCTCCATATCATCAACTTGGGCCGGCAAAGAGTAATTTCCAAAGAAGCTGTCATAGTCACCAAACATATCTTCTTCGCTATCGTTACCACACTGCAAAAACATAAAAACGAGTATTTATACTCCCAAGCGGCAACACGGGAGGCAGCATAAATCGCACAGCACACGCATCACATGCAAGACCTGGTTTGGCTCCTAAAGGAAGGCGCCCCTTAACTCTGTGAAACTCAACCTACACGCAGACACAGCTGCCTGGCAGGGACGAGCCCTATTTTCTGTTTTTATTTAGGTCAGTTTCAAGCACAACGCGCCCGGTCTCATACAAACCCAGGCCCTCCCGGCGCCCAGGCCGTACCGCGGGCTCCGGCGGGGCTCCCTCGCTGCCACAGCCA